CACTTTATAGCACTCTGCTCTGGCCAAGGGAGGGGGTCAGGCAGGGAGCATAGTATACTGGGTCCTGCCAGCCTTTTTGGTTAAGTGCTCCAAGCTTAGCAGAGGTCTTAGGGGCTCTGGAGCGATGTCACGCCCACCTGGCATCCTGCCTGACAGTGGCTCTACCAATGGCCCTCACTCCCAACTCACAACCCTCCTGGTATCAACTCTTCCCCCTCCCCCCAGTGTTGCTGAGACCCTTCTATCCAGACCACTACCCCATATTCACCCCAACAGCTCTCCCAGGCCCTGAGGCCCCAGCTGGAGGACAATGGGAATGGAGTACTGCTAAAAGCCCTCACACCTCCCAATCCAGCCCCATTCTACAACTCTCTGGCTAAGACAGCTGGGCTGCCCCCTGCTGCTCTGCCCTTGGGTTTGCAGCTACCTCTGGGCCCTCTGATTCCACGGGTCCTGCCCCAGTTCACTCAGCTGGAGGACTGGGCAGTCCTGGCCCCCTCTGAATTTTCCCAGGAGTGACCTGAACAGACCTCTCCTTGAAGGAAGTGCACATCTCTGCACAGAGCATTCACCAGAGGGCAGCACAGCTCCAGATGCCACAGCCCCCCTAACCCTCTCCCTCCCACATACACAGGCTCAACACTCAGATAGCACAGGAGTCAGCCCCACACACCTGGGGTGGCCCCTGTATTCCCCAATGCCCCACAAAACAGAAGCTTGCAAGGGTCTCCACTTCAATATTGTTTGGGGGGGTCCTGTACAACATCTCTCCAATCCAAATCTCAGCTGAGCTCTGCATCCTGATTGATCCAGGTAGTATCCCATTTGAGGCTCCCCTATTGCCTGTTGGGATAGCTGCTGGGAGATGTATGTATCCCATGGCAGCCTACCATGCGCTAGGCACCCTTGGGAGCCAGACTGCAGACAGCCCTGCCTCTCTCTCATCCGGTGGGGTCTGCTCTGCAATGAACGGTGCAGCACCCCTGGAGCAGGGAGGAGAGGAGCATGCCGAGGGGACGCCCCTCCCTGGGGTATGATGGATCATGAGCTCATACTGCCCTCTGCTGGGTACAGCTGGGAAGGCCTGTTCCCAGGCCTAGGGTTGCATGAATCAGCCTGAGTTGCAGGCTACTGAAAATCCCCACCCATACAACACTCCTCCCCCAACCACTCCGACATACCCTGGCCTGGACTAAAAACACCCCACTGCTCTAAAGAGTCTTCCTCCCCTTCTCACCCTTTCCCAAACCCATCCCCTGCTCCATCACTTCGCCCTGCAGCCAAGCAGCCTTCTTCCCCACCATTCACCTGGGGTGGAGGCAGACTTTGGACTGAGACCCACATCTGAAGGCATCCATCAGGTTACAATGATTTTGACCCAAGCTTCCCTCCCCCAGCTTCAGGGGTAGATGGGTGTGAGGACAGGGTAGGCAGTCTGAGCCAAAAATCCCAGACAGGCCCATCTCTGGGGGTGGGGGAGAGGGGACCCCAAAGAGGAGGAGGGTGGATGGGCCTTTGGGAGCTGATGAATTAGCTCTGGCCAAGGAGCAAAGCCTATAAGGCCTGGGTGTGTGTCCATCAGTCTAGGCTATTCTGCACTGAGGAAGCTGCAGGCATCAGACAGGCCCAGCACCTACCTTAAGGCACCTTTTCAGCTTTTCCTACCCCAGCACACACACCCACACCCACACCAACTTGCTCGCCTGGGATGGGCACTGGAGTCAAAAAGCCCTTGGCTGTGCCTGGCACTAATGCAAGACAATCTGGCCCTTTAAATTCCCACTGCACAGGGGACTCTTTGCAGGAATCCTCACCATCGTAGTGCCCCCCCCCAGCATCTTCCCATGTCATTGCCATGACAACCACTTGCCATCCTTCCCTTCATCTGCTGGAAGGGAGGTGAAGTGGGGATCAGATCACAGGACCCCTCCCTCTAGCTGGGATTTAGGGGCATCAGCAAGGAGGGCTCCATGCCCCCTAGTCCTCACCCTGTGGCCAGAAATGGGGGCGACTGGGCCATCCCCCCAGGAGCAAGGCAGAGCAGGACTGCTGCTCCCCTAGAGGACTTAGAGCAAACGGAGACCCAACATCCCTGATGCTGGGACCCCACACCAGCCTCAAATGACTGCTCAGGCTGCTCGGCTCCTGCTGTGCCTCAAGGTCACCCCACTAGCCAGCAAGGGTAAGACCAGAGGGCTGTTTGCATCCTATCGCCCTGCCCCATGTGATCCTGTCTCTCCTTGGTGGAAGGTGGGGAGTTGACACTCCCCTGCAGCCTAGGGAGCCCATCCCCATTGACTTCGGGGGGGGGG